CGAACTCGGGTGTGTATTTCAACAGCTCAGGGGTGTACCGAGTGACAGTTGGTACTCTTTCTTTCTTTTCTTTTCTTTTCTTCTTTTTTTTTCTTTTTTCTTTTGTTTTGGGGGGAGAAATAGCCGTTGCGTAAGCCCTCTATCCCGGCGGTGGTAGTGCAGTCTTTAAAAAAGGAGTTAATGAGAGAGAAGTTCAGAGAACCATTTTTCTATAAAAAAAAGGGAAAATTTTTGATATGCCCCTGAAAGTTCAATTAATTTGCAGCGTGCCCCTCTGACGGCCGACTTACCCTGCTGTGCCCCTGGGCCCTCTGAGCTTTCCTGCAGGCCCCTCTCTGTGAGGGTAGCAATTTTCCAGCGTGCCCCTGTGGCCGTCGGTGGCACACACGATCTTTCCCCTGGCTCTGGGAGGGGAGCTACCGGGGCGTACTAGAAATTTGGAAGTGGTACCGGTAGGGGTATATTGAACATATTTCAGGCCCAAACGACATCAGGGATTTTTCAGAAACTTCAATCTCTGTCAGAGGGGCGCTGCAGGGTAAGTCGGCCGTTAGAGGGGCACGCTGCAAATAAATCGAACTTTGAGGGGCATATCAAAAATTCCTCCCCCCCCCCCAAAAAAAAAAAAGAGAACCGCCAGAATTGAGGGCTTATCTGTCCGGCTGCTCCATCTATTGGTGGGGATCGCCACTTGCTGGAAAGTGGGTCCAGCGTCCCATTCATACATCTTATCAGGTAACACATAGACTGCTGTTTGTTGTTTCCTGGGTTTATGGTCGTTTCTGACTCAGCCCGGGGCTCCGTTGTCCCATAATGATTAAGGTGCTAGTATTACCCATCCCTTTTGTTGGAGCACCCTTTGTCTTATTAGCCCAGCCCTGTTCAGCAGCCCCCTTGTTTGTTATTGGTATGAATGTTCCTTCAAACCCTTTAAACCCTATACCCTCTCTAGAGCCATGCATCACATGCATCACACATTCGTGAAGCCTGAGGATCTGCACTGAAATGGAATGTGATGCAGTGCAATATAGTCCCGTTCCCTGGCCGGGGCTTACTCCTATCATCTACACTCCTATCATCTTGCCCTGCCCACTCCCGGAAGTTGCCTGTTATTCTTTCTTGGCCTGAAGTCTCTCATTCGCCTGCTAGACCCAGGCTACTTCCATGTGTCCGCAGTCCACTTGTTTGTTATTGCTATGACTGTCCCTTCAAACCCTTTAAACCCTAGGGCCTATACCCTCTCTAAAGCCATGCATCACACATTCACACGTTCGTGAAGTCTGAGGATCTGCAATGAAATGGAATGTAATGCAATGTGATGCAGTGCAATATAGTCTCGTTCCCTGGCCGGGGCTCTCTCCTGACATCTTGCCCTGTCCGCTCCCAGTAGTTGCCTGTCGTTCTTTTTCGCCCTGAGGTCTCTCATTCGCCTGCTAGACCCAGGTCGCTTCCAAGTGTCTGCAGTCCCCCCCTATCCCAAGCGGCCTCCTCAGAGTGAAGTCTGCCTGCAGGTGCTGACCTTTTGACCTTGTTGAATTCTTCACCCTTGCTTTGCGGGTGCTCCATTCTTTCCGTGTTGTGTATATGGTGTCAGCTGGACCGTAGCTCTCCCAGCCCCTGTACTGGGAGGCAGGCATGCATTCGTGTCAGCGATCGGCTACGAAGTTGGTAGTGTGCATTTGTTGTCCCGGGATGGCCGGCCGCCACTCGGACAGGTTGGGGAGTGGGAGAGGGGGAGGGCAGAATGGGGAGGGAGGGGGAGAATGGGGTGGTGTTGGGG